ATTAAATGAAATATAGTAAGGTTTTGCAAGTTGTTCGTAGTACAGTGTATATGTAAAAGATTTAAAGACTTGCTATAAATCTTTCATTGATGTCATATAATTGGTATAAACGAATTATATGAATTGATTGATCAGAAACTCGCAAAAAAAAAAAAAAAAAAAAATACATGGACGACGTAACTTTATTTTTTTTATTTTTCATATCAAGTTTGTACATGTATATATTAATGTAATTCGATTATTGATTTTTCAAAATGATGTTTTCTTTTAAACACATAGATTCATTAAAGTTACATTACAAATAAAATGCATATGCAAATGAGGAGCAGCGCAGTAATTAAATTCAAACGTCTGTCGAAACAAGCCAAGCAAATGGAGACCAAAGCTGTGATGAGGTTCTTTGTCAGAGTAGGCATCCCCTGTCAGATGGTCACAACTGCTTTTTGCTTTATTTTATAAAACAAAATATTTTAAAATGTTTAAGAAATAAATTAAGTCCATATAGAGTCTGACACATCATTTTCATATTTGGATATTTTACTAGAAATAGAGAAGACGTTAATGGTTATCTAACAATCACATTTTATGATAAACGTGATAGAATTAACTTTTTAACTCTTTTCTGCTTACGCAGCAATATACCTTCATCAACTACGGGGTCTCTCAGTTGATTCAATACGCAAGAGCATGCTCTACGTATGAAAAGTCTAAAAAGAGGTAAATTATTGACAAACATGTTTATGAAACGAGAATATCAGCTGTTTCGATAAAAAACCATCATTTCATAAGTTCTATGGTCAGTACAAAGATCTTGTAAACAAATACAATCGAACATGCTGGCTGATATTTTATACGAATTGTTATACAATTATAAAATTACACAATGAATTATCGTCGGATTTTAACGTTTTTTCCTCGATCATGAAAGGGAGAACACGACCACGGCGGGTGTGACCGGTTGGCAGGAAATGCTTATTCCTCCATGCATATGGTACCAACCTCTGACGTTTTAGAGGTCGGTGTTTGATCTGTTCCAAATATCGTATTGATTAATCGACTTTTGAACATGAATACTGTTTGTTAAAGCCAGATTTCATTCTTATATTATCTATTTTAACAACAAATAGTTGCCTTTCTACAAAAGTATGCATAAGCATGATGAGGTTGCTCCGATTTTCAAGATTAATTTAGGTATCAGAAAACTTGTTATTCTGATAAATGTATATGTACTAGAAAGTCCATTTAAGTTGCTTAAACTTCCCTTTCATGATACCAGTTAAGGAGAATTTATAACCGATATTCGATGTTGATTTATTATGTCAGAGTGAAGAACCATCAATGTTTAAGAAATATATGCATTCTTTATTTTCCCATTTTAATTTGAAAAAAAGAACACTTTTATTAGTGCTCTCTGTTATGTATTTGTAACAAATAAATCTGAAAATAAAGCTTTCTTGTGCTTGAAATTATAATGAAATACTCAACATTTTCACAAAAAAAAGAAGGAAGATATGTATTTGTTTCCTATCTGAGCGATATTTTGCTACATTACTTGTAGTTTTAAGGTTCATTGATACTCTAATAAGAAAGATAACTCTTAATGACATTAATATCTATTATTCCTTTATAGATTTGCCAAGTTTTAATCTCTTTTTGTCCAAAATGACCCCACAAGCCATGCTATAATTGTTTGTATATGTTACGTATATAAAATTTCTATTGGAAAATCATGGTTCAAGCGACATTTTATATGAGTGAGCAGAGGGTTTATGAACCTTAATGTAGTACTGACCTTTGTTACAGTGACACCTTTGGTACGTTGACATTAAGCTTCCGGTATTATGTGATTTGTCTGTAAAGAAATTCCTACCCTCAATCCTACACATATTGATCTTCCGGGCTGGGATACCTGCCAATATTCAATCATAATGATTGAAAGTTGAAAAAAGTGTTATATTTAATAAAACCAAGAAAATACCTGAACATCTTTCAGTTTGTCTGTAAATACAATGCCGCTTTCAAAACTATTATCCTTATACTTTAGTGTTTATGCATATCCTTTGTATATTGAGTGACTTTTAAATTTTGTTTATAAGGTTATAATTATTGAATACATTTATAAATCATACTAATGTATGATCCGAAAATAAACATCCAGTGTATCTAATGTATTTAATGATTTATTCATACTTCTTTCCAAATATTTATAGATTTATGTTTTTATTTTAGGGCAAAAAATTAACAACATACATATAATTCTTCAACATCATAGCAATTTTCATCACCATAACATCGCTATTAACTATAGAAAAAATGGCTTCCTTGTATGGGAACTGTATATATATTAGGATTGCAAGTTTTTAAAACTAAATATAGGAATATTTGCATTATATTAATATTTATTTTGATTTAAAGCATGCATAAAACCTGGAAACAATAAAACATACTCTTTTGTTCCTTGCGTCTTGCCTTTTTCAATTCTCCCGGAAATAAAAATGTTTCAAAGAGGGAGCACGATGACGTCTATGCATAAATAGATTGACCCAAAGGCAATTCAGATAGTAGGGTGTAGAAAATTTTATATCCCATATAGGCATAATGACTTGCATATTATTAACGTGAGCTTAAGCTGATTTAGTCAAATCTGACAAATTTTATGATGGTACCTGATCCCACCTCTGATGTTTCGGAGGTCCGTATTTGCTCTGCTCCTATTTTGTATCGTTTTATGGACTTTGATTTTGAATACTGTTTGTTATCTCCATATTTTTCTCTAAATTTCCATTCATAAACTAAAGCTCTGTCAAGCTTAAATGTACTTTCATCGTTTCAATATCTCAGGGCTGTTCACTCCTGTCTTATTGGCACAATGACCCAGAATATACCATAAATATATATGACCTTACAACATACACTCCTTCACTTGTAAAATTATTCCCTAAACCCCCAAACAGTTAATCCCAAATAACCTTTTAATCAATTACCCTTTGATAATGAGCCATCACCGAAAGGGATATTCCTTTACTTAAATGATACAAACATTTCAGAATATAATACAAAATGAAATTAATAGCTTTGTCAGCAGGATCTACAGGTCTTTGACAACAATGATTATTTTTGATTATTTATCAAAAGTTGTGTTTCTCGAATCGGCTGAATTTTGTCTTGAGAATGTATTGTGGAAATGGAATTAAGGATTACATATACCGGAACTTATTCAGAAACCATTACCTGAATTGAAAATAATTACTTGCTTGACATAAATATTGATATAAAAATTATTATTACATGCATTCTAAAATTTTTACTACTATTTAGTACATTTTTTGATTAATATGCATAGTAAATATTGAATAGAAAACATACCATGTAATAGTCCAGGAATAAATCTCGCAATTTACAATGATAGCGTTTTGTTTTGTATTTGTTTCTTTGTTTGTTTGTTTGTTTTTGTTTTTTTTTTCTTGCTTTTGCCATAGCTGTTTGTCAATATGTTTTCTTTTACCCGGGGACTCAATCAAAGAAGATTTTGCTACGAAAAATTCCATTTCAATTATAAAAGAAAGATCTGTTGATAATTTAATATTTTCTCCCCTTCTTAACTCATTTTACGTATTAATAGACATCATTACTATACATGTATATAAATCAAACTGAACTGCTGTACGTTGTGCTGTAACTTTATCAAATGTCGCCATTTTTCGTGTGCTGCGTTTACCAACTTTCTCATTTCGAATAGTCGTGATAATTCCTAAAATAAGCAAATGTTCTGAAATGTTTTAAAAGACGAGACAAGAGATAGTTTTTACCCCAATCATGTCTATTTAATACTTATACTGTTTGCTAGCCCTTGGTCAGGTATTTATAGTGATGAATGATCACTGTTTGACAGCCTTTGTTCAGCCCTTTATACTAATTGTTAATCAATGATAAGGAAGTAAGATTAGCACTTGCAATAGTAAGTATCTTCCTTTTTTTATTTGATAAAACAGGTTTTTAGAAATCATGGTTTTTAAGTAAGTATGATAAGGTTGTATTAATAATAATATTATACCAACTGAAAATGCATTTGCAAACACTATATCAATCGTACCTTTCTACATATTAACTTCTTTCATTTTGTGTATTATCAACTCCTTTGTTATTAGATTGTTTGTTCTCAGAAACTTCGTTCCTAGTACTGTACATGTTCCTAAGAATCAAGTCTACTGACTTAAATGGTTACATCAAGATAATTCTCTTTACAAGTATAGGATATTTTTGATAAATTCTGTTCATGGATACCAAAAGGGCCTTGTTGCATTCACTATTGAAATAACGACCACATTTCAATAGTGATCGTTAACCCAATAGTCGTTGAAACAAGGCCTGTTACGTGAAGTAATATCAGGGTAAACGTAAGTCATGGTTGTTACACAGACCACACTTGCCTCTTAGATATTGTCAATGCGAACGGTCCCTCACTTGTGAATAGATTCAGAATGTTTTTGTAGACATAGGTGAGTAATAACAAGGTATTCCGACTTGACAATATATTAAAAAAAATAATTAACTCCCTGTCATAATTTAGTTAAATTGCTACAACAATATTATATTAAGAATCCCGCGTTGTCCCCAAGAGAGAAAAATCACAATACTATGACTGTTCAAAAAGATATTTAGAATGAAAATAATTCTAAAAATTAAAATATAAAGCAATTTAAATATGCATATACAGGTATTATTTAAATTTTTGATTTATTCCCCTTGTCAACGATTAAAATCTTTCATGAATGACCACTGTCTTTTTTTGATCTAGATTACAATTCTCATCGTTTCCATAAAGTTTTAATTTACATCAATCATAAGAAAAATAACCATGACAGAGAATATTCCCAAAACATGAATTGCAATCATGTCTTCCCAACATCATTAAAAAAATGTTCAGATGACCTTAAAACAAAACATTATGTAAACGAAACTATTTTGATAATTTATATCGTCTATTTACATTTGGCACATATTGAGATTTCTAATATATCATTCTTCTTTTGCAGTTAAACACATACACGTTAACTCTCTGATCATTTTATTGAAACGAATCCAATCAATATGTCTTTCAAAACTCCTCATGTTCTTTAAGTAAACAACATCCAACGAAAACTATCTTTTACATAAGAATTGCACTGGATTAAAAATTAGCCTCAATTAGTCGACACGAGTTATCCTGAACAGGTCTGAAGTTTCCAAACCGTGAGATCCGCTCCCCTTTCTTATTACGGAGTAGGAACAAGAGTTTATGAGACTGAAATAAACAACAACAAAATTATCTTAATGCAAAGTTTCCAAGAAAATGTATAATTTCTTTACAACACACCTATCTGGGGAAAAAGATATTGTTAACTTATCTTTGATATTGTTTTGAGTTTTAAAAAAAACTGGAAATTGTGGTTTTTAATTCATATCTGTTACTTTCAAAGTCATGCAGTTTTGTCTTTATTTCAAATCATAACTAGATACAACATTGATTCTACTTTAACTTTCATTTTCACTGAAATTTTACTTTCTAAAGGATAGTTCTGTGTATGGTGGCATAGTTATAAATATGTTGCATGTTGACATAATTATGTTGCATGTTAACACAATTTATCTTGCAGATAGGGGCAGAAATATGCCACCATATCTGTGCTGTATTACATTTACTTCCTATTTGATATTACTCTTTCTTTCGTTTCTTTCATGTACCTTTCTAGTGATAGTTCTGTGCTGTTTAAAGATGATCCATCGCGTGTTATATTCACATGGCGGGGTTGTCTTAGATCCGTAGTATGTATAGAAGTCTCGGTTATATGGCAATATTCCCGATAAATCTATAACTGACTGAACTCCTTCATCTTCAAAAAAAGTAAACTTAGTCGTACATAGAAATGTCCGTATTCACAAAATTATCATATATAAATAACTATGAATATGCTCCAAAATTGTAACGAAATCGCCAGAAGTCACCGATTAACTAGTACGTTGAAATAAAATAGTCTTATAAAGAATTTTGGGTAAAATGATCATTTTAGTAAGAGTGAATTCAAACATACAAAAATATTTATAAAAATGTTTTTAATGTAAAAACATTTCTAAAAATTACATCAAAGTAAACATATCAAAGTTCTTAAATTGCAACGTTTAATAGACGCATGTCTTCAACTTCAAGTCATTTCCTTTGACCACTTTTGACAGAAATACTTACGTTTTGGCATTTTAATTTGTGGGACGAAATTTTGAATGAATTTATCTACTTCTCCCGGACCGTTGTGCCCTACCTAGAAGTAGAAATAAATTTAATGTTCATAGTCCAACCCATTGCCTTTGCACAAGAAAAAAAATTAGCATAAATTATTTATCATATTATCTTTCATTCTCGCAAGCCAGGGGTCCCGAGTCAACACGCTGCCGTTAGACCCCAGGCATTTTTCATTCTATATCCGTGGGCTTGCATCTCTAATTGAGAAGCACCTATCAAAGTAAAGCATTCCAAAATAGTCATGCAGTTATAGAGTCAGCTGACACCTCTGTGCATGTGTTACACGTTGTTTATCATAGAATGGCTAAATGTGATTGGTTGAGAGATAAAAAAACAAACAAACAAGTTTTGCATTTTTCCACCCGAAATACGCTGCTACAGTCAGCCCATAGATATTAAATGACGTTTGCCAAACGTCTAAAACGGTAACGTGTTGACTCAGGACCCCTGGCTTGCGAGGATGATTATCTTTATTCTCATCAATATTTGACTGTGCTTTACCTCGAATAAAACAGATAAGACTACGGTGCCATCCCTGTATTTTGAAGCGTTCTTCGCATCTCCGTATTTGGAATTGTAATGAGCCATATGAAGCTGTAAACAAATATAGCGAAAAAAGCACTTACAACATTTAATCTCTTTTTAGTTTAAAGAAATCCTAGAAGCTTAATTTTTAGAGCTTTTGAATAAATAGTCAGCGGAAGATCTTCTCACACGACATACAATGTGAAAACAAAATAGTACTACCATGACCAATTCGGAAGTTACAGGCAAGATTCAAGTTTTTTGAAATGGTCAAAATTGGCCTTGGTACCAAATAACAATGACTCACAATAGGGAGTATTAATCCCGAGAAGCAACTTATCAAAATTTGGTGATGGTTTAATTTTGGCAAGGTTTTGTGAAACTTGATATCCAAGGTCAAAAGGTCAAATTTGCAGGAATTCACGCTTCAGAACTATGAAAGCTCTAGTTCCAAACAAGCAATTGATGGGCAAGGTAATTTTTTTATTTGTTTGCAGAACAACATGCAAATAAACAGACGGACGAAATGTTCATGCAAACAAATTTTCTTTTAAAAGTGCATGATGGATCATTTACTTTTTGACTAAAATGAATTCCAAACTATTATCACAACGTATAATTAGGAGCAAACATATAATAAACCTCGAACATTCAGTTTATTGGCTGGTTTCTGAATGAATTGCAGAGCTTCATTGTGTGAATTTTCAATAGACGGTGAAGTTGATTTATAAAAGAAAAAACAAATGAGACTTTAACTACTCACTTCGATGGGGAAGAAACGTCCGTTCATGGAATGTTCGGAACCGTGTTCAAGGTCATTTCCAAAGTGAATGTGAATCTGGTCAAAGACGTAAATATCCTTTTCTGAGTGGGGGACCCCGTATAAAACTCTCAGCTTCTTGTCAGGATAAAAAGCACACGTGTGTCCTATTAGAAATGAGAATAATTTACTGTAAACGTACTTTTTTCCACGGGGTCATAATTCCGCGGAATCTCAATTCCTGTTTAATCCGCGGGTAGAAAATTACGCGGATTTTCTAGATTGTAACTATATGCCTTACATTTATATTAAGTACGCCTGGACAAATTTCCGCGGAAAATTTGCGACTGCGTACATAGCGTAAATTAATACCACGCGGAAAAAAGTACTTCTGTAGTATCTTAAAGGGTACATAACATTAACAATATTTCTTTCAGAGAACAGCAAATTAGATTTATATCTATATAGGTAATCTTATTCATATCTGAAAGGTAGATAAGAATTTGTAATAATGTTTAAAGATGTTAAAGGCAAACTACATGAGTCAGTTTTAACATTAAATTTTACTAAAAGAGTGTGTGAAAAGAAAAAAGTTTACTGTCTTTTTGCTCACGTCGTTTTTTTCTATATTGGAAGCTTTTAAAAGCTCAGAAGATATTTATAAATTTTGTATGAAATGTTTATTCATTTGACATATTTCTTTTTAAAAAGTCCACACGTAGTGTTTCTTAGAACATTTCTTTTAGTTTCTCAGATTTTTTTTTTTAATTGTACGATAAATTAATTTTTTTTTCAAAGAAGAAGCAGGAAAAAAATCAGCCACCGTTTTTCCTAAAATATAGTTTGTGCTAGATTTGAAATCGGTAAATTATTTCTATTCAAAGTTGTACAATTATGGGTGTAAGAGGGCTGGGTAGTTGTAGCAATTTTTAGATCATATTTATATCCTTTAGAAGAACAACTTAATAAGATATACAACTATGATCACATTTTAAATCTAAAATGTATGACATTTTTCTCTGCCCATTGATATCATATCTAAGAAATGATCTTATACCTTATGATAAATTTGTTGACCCTTAAACCTTCTTAATCTAAATACATTTGAATAATAAGTTTCGATAAGATCGATATCAAGTGTATGATGATCAACAAATCTTTTGCAGAAAAAGAGAGGGAACTCTTTGTCAAGCTCGATTTTCATGCTTATGTTTTCTAGGCTAATAAGAGATTTCAATACTCAATTCTTTTATTATTTTAAAACATTATTTTAAAGTATTAAATACTGATAAAGGTTACCATCAACGAACATAATATGATATATTATCGTATGGTTGTATTGGACCATAGACAACTTTTTTTTCTTCATTTTTATGTCTGTTGAAAAGTCATTAGATTTACGTCAATTTGAATATCATTTGCTTCTCTTTGGGCATCATCAATTGACAGTAAATTTTAGTCTTTTGATTGGGACTCTTGGTCATTATTAAGGGAAATTTTCTCTTTCTTGCATCCACTGAAACACGGGACCTCGATTTATGATGTCTCTTCTGCAGTACTAAATTTATCGTCCTGCAGTGTGATAAAAAAAAAAAGCTCAATATGATTATTTTACTTCTTCTCTCTATGAATAATGCTTCTAACCAATATCCATCTTATATTTTCCATGTCATTTTGACAATGAATAAAGAGATACCATTATTTACAAACTGTCCACTGGTCCTTAAGTTTTCCAGATTGTAGTGAATTTTGTAGCCCATCTTATGCATTACCCTCTGTGTATCGATGTTTATCGGTGACTGGCGATTAGCTCGGCAATCCTCCCATTGGTATTTCCACATAGCTGGACCTTCACAAAAATTAAACAAAGAATCCTTAGAAATAAATATATGGTCGATACAATGACTTTATGAAATAAAATTTATCATCGAGTCAAATTCTGACTGACATTTTTCTTACTAATTGTAAATCCATCATTTACCGGTGTGACCGGTCGGAATGGAATGCCCTCTCCTCCATGGATGGAACCTGATCCCACCTCTGATATTTAGGAGGTCCGTGTTTGCTCTGCTCCTATTTTGTATTGTTTTCTGGACTTTATGGCTTGAATACTGTTCGTTATCTCCATATGCTTCATTGAGAAAACGAAGAGTATTTTAGCTTAAAAGTTCGTTAAACAATAAAAAAAAATATAGCACAGCAAAAATGGGCCTCCAAAACATCAGAGATGAGATCATAAATGTTTTATTGGTGAAGATTAACAAAACGCTAAACGCAGATCATTTTTTATTTAAAAATATCAAGGGAAACTGTTTGTTATCCCCATCTATATTTCATTGAATACATAGATATAACAAAAGAAATTCGCTTGTGATATTTGCTGCAAGTTTTTCTTCTTTTAATTAACTGTCTCTCAAGCAAATTATACAAAAAAACTTAGAATATACTCTTCGGATATTCAGGAAACTTAACATTGTTCTAAATTGATTGGAAGTGAGGGATTGCGACGAAATTTGAATACTACAATGAGAGCAACTTTATCACAACCTCAAACCTTTAATGAATAGTTATTGAGACTATACAAATGTTTGATTTCTTTTTGAATTTTTCAATGGGTTGAATATAATTGGATCTACGTATGAATTAGAGGGATAAAGTGCTTTTTATACAAACTAACACCAGTGTTCTTCCTTGAAATAAAATGATGATTGAGAGCAAATGTGAATTAAGCGACGCCTTATCTAGTGGTAACTGACATTGTTTCATGTCTTCTTTGCAGATTTAACATTCAATATTTGACTTAGACATGGTAAAAACATGGCATGATTAACTCCTCCGACGAAAGTTCAAAGAATATTCCGTAATTAACCTCTGTCGAATTTGTTAAAATTTCATGGATGATTAAAACTTTACTTTAATGACAATTATAAAATTGTGTTGTTTGATTCGGCAAGCAGAATAAAACGGATAGATAACTGCGCTATTATCAAATACGTTTTTTTCTGTATGCAGAATTTTATCATAGCTTTTTTTCAATACTCAGTGTATAAGTGTATCTCTCAATGAATCGACTTTCTAGGTAGAAGAAAAAATTTAACTCATAGTATAGAAAAATTTAATGTTCCATAAATCAAAGCTACTAACACATATATACATGTACCTCATAAATGAAAGATAAACTGAGTGGAATACTAATACCAGCAATTCAAAATAGAGTATTAGAATGAAATATATGGAGTTACCTAACAGTGTTGAAGCTCAACAGTCTTAAACAATACAAAATTGGAGCAGATAGAACACTGACTTCTGAAATATTAGACGTGTTTTTTTAAGCTTTCAACTCTGTTCTGTGTATTTTTGTTAATAAAAAATGGGAATTTTCAAAACAAATTGGTATTTCAATAATGAATGAGTTAAAAAAAAATCTGAAAAGTTAACGCATACATCTAAAATGACAAGGGAAATAAAATGACAAAATAAACGGTTACAAAAGTGAGTTGAAAGTTATTTAATTAAATTTTTTCTGCCAGAGTAAAGTTATTAAAAACATGTATTTTTACGACTATCAATAGATGATATATGACAAAATACTGAAATAATTCTTTTTTGGCCTTTCCATATTCTTTGCTTTTTCAAATGCATCTTTTTGATATATAAGATACCTACGAAAATAACCTGATGTTGAAACCACCTCGTTCAAGTTTTATATGAAAAACGTGGTAAATAAATGTAAATATTTGCAATCAAGAAAACTCACCTCTCATCGAGTAGGGGCTATAATTAAATTGTGTATTGGACTCAATATCAGCTTTCCCGGGTTCCTCCTCACGAATCAGAGTACTACCCTTGACAGGGACTAACTGTAACGAAATCAACAGCCAATGTATTCCTAAAATCAGAAGCATTCTGTTGTATTGAATATTTAGCAATGATATCTTCATCCTTATTTTGTGCGGGACAGGTTTTCTATAATTGTGACTCTGTCACCGTGTGGTCCAGCCGGTGACTTTCATACGTTCGTTTCTGATTGAATGGACACTGTTCATTCGTTTTTTGTCAGATATATAGACTTGACATTCTACTTCCGGTACATTTACGTGTTCCTGTCAATATAGCGATGTCTAAGTTGTAACAGCGTGTTATGATCCTTAACATTTATCACCTAATTTTGCTAACAACACTCATCTCACGTCTAAAACTGCACTGATTTTGTTTTATAAGCTTATTGCTTTCATGAGTCGGGCTTGTTTATTTTTCTATTCTAAACCAAGTCATGTTTCACTGCTGTAAGGTTTTCATTAGGCGTGAGAATTCACCAAACCACAAACAACATTTTGTTCACGGGCCATATCTTTGTAAAATATTGGACCCCCTAGATAAGGTATTTCTTTTACACAAAAAAACCCTCTATTTTACTTTCAAGGTTTTTTTTCCTATTTCGCATACCTGAAAAAATCTTATTTTTGTGTGTTTGTGTTTTGGTTTTTGTTGCCTTGCCATTTCTAAAATTCAAGTTAGCATCTTTGCATTGTTGAAAATAAGATGTAGAAAGCTTTTTAACTTTTGTCTTTAAAAAGCATACGAAAATGGTAATTCAACTTTCATAATGTTAGATCCTGCATAATAATAAAAAAAATAATCACTTGTGGTGGCTGTCAACACACAATTTGGATGCCTGGACATATGTCTCAAATAGTTAAGTTGCTTTGCATATATGTTGATTCGATATATCCCAGTGAACTTGAAAGCGTCTGGAGCGTATGCTTCATACTCGGATGTCTTACGGACAATAGGCGATAAGGGCCAACCAAAAGCTAAACGTTAGGACAAACGAGATACTTTCAACTTTTTCATTGTCGAGTTTCCTTATTTATTGAATGATATCAGGTTATAATCTGCACCTTGTATTCACATTTCCTCACTTATTCGATAAGCAAAAGCATGCTCTGGGTACGATGTTTTTTTTTTTAATCCGAAGCAGGTTACTTAATTAGAAGAGTTTAATCTTATTAATAGTTCCACAGCATTGTTTCGGCATTTCGTAAATTCTATGTTCGTTGAAATGACCTTGGTAGCAAATATAACACATCATTGGCTCGTAATTTGATTGACTTGTTTCATGCTAATTATTGCACTTTTGTTTTCATGCAGAATTCAGTTCGTAAAAAATGACTTTTTTTTCTGATTACTCACTGTTTGTTATTTTCACCCATTCTTTCTGCTAGTTGTCAAATAAAGAAGTAAAATGATATTTTTTTTATTAATGTATTCTAATGAAATAAAACTACTGCCTTGATTATGAAAGTATGCCCAACTGCGGGCAGCCTCGCAGTCGTCTTTTTGACTTTGACAATTAAACTATGAAAGATCCAGATCCGAGGATTAAGATTACTTCAGATTACTCTTTACATACAATTCTCTTTTAGCATTTGTCATGTTTGTTCCCTGTAATTTTTTTTTACATTGAGGCATTTCATTGAAATGAAATGAATTACTGTAAGAGTAGTATTTTAATATATCCAATACACTGGATGAAAAAATACAAATTGTTTGCAAAACACAAAATAATGCGTAAAAATACACCTCTGTAGTAATACACTGATTAACACTTTGTAGCTCTTACTCATTTATAACCTTCACCAAAAACGTTCTCACTTCCTGTATGTGAAAAGACCTTTGATGCGTTTTCTGTTGTTACATAAGCCTTTACCACAAATGGGTCGTCATTTATACGTCTTACTATCTTTACCCAAAGATATTGTCGTAATTCAACTATTGAATCCATATATATCTATTCATTTCCAAAAATATAAAATACAGACATTATGCTAATTTTAGGTGAAAATTTCTTGTTAAGTAGTCAACATTCTCGTCTAATAAACATTTCTGAAGGTGAATCATAGAGTGTAACAATTCAAATTATCTTTCTTCACGTAGGCATGAAATTGAGCTTAATTTCGATGTCGGCTGATCTACGCAAAAGGCTCACAGCGGATGTGACCGGGTGATAGGATAGGGGATGCTTTCTACTCTTATTCACCTGTTCCTCCGCTGGAATTTCTAAGGTTCGTGTTTACGCCCTGTTTACACATTTGGACATTGGAAGATCTTTCACATTATCACTGTTTATTATCTTTATTTTTCCTATTTCTAGCTCAAAAACCGTTTCTTGCGTTAGACTATTTTATAAATGAAAGACTAAATTGTTTGGTCATTATTTTCATCTTTAATCATAAAACATATGGAGATACATGTAAGGTATAGTATTCAACACATTTAAGGATTCTTTTCGTTTGCTCGTTCAAACCAGAAGTCTCTGTCGAGACTGAAGCTCCACTGATTTGCACTTATAGCAAAGGAAGAAAAAAGTACTTAGGCAGTTGGGAATTGAAACTTTACAACAGTAATAATTAAATAATGATCTTTGATTATAAGTCTCGTTACGTTCTTAGTGTAGTCTACTTAAATGCCATATTATATTAAAATCAAAAACCGATTTATAGAATTTTGTATCTTAGTGTAATCTACTTGTGTGCCAAGTTATACTGAAAGCAGAGTAAAACTGTAGGAGGAGTAGCATTTTGAGAGAATTTCACAGAAATTTCTATTTTTAGTAACCACGGAAACACCGTTCATCGAGATCAAAAACTGATATACAGAATAATGTATCTTAGTGTAGTCTACTTGTGTGCCAAGTTATATTGAAATCAGACCAGAACTGTAGGAGGAGTAGCATTTTGAAAGAATTTCACAGAAATTCCTATTTTTAGTAACCACGGCAACACGTTCATCGAAATCAAAAACCGATACACAGAATTATGTATTTTAGTGTAGTCTACTTGTGTACGAAGTTATATTGAAATCAGACAAAAACTGTAGGAGGAGTAGCATTTTGAAAAATTGTTTACAGACAGAGACCTTCAGACAGACGGACAGACGGACGGACGGACACAGGACGCATTACTATCGCATAAGCTCTTCTGGTCTCTGACCAGTAGAGCTAAAAAGGAACACAAGACCAAAAGAAGGGGAAATATGAATTTTGAATTATGCATTCTTCTTGGCAGATGTTCAAATCTTCGATGAATTTAGTGGTCAGTGTTTATGCTGCTTTCAATCTGTATTCATTTTCAATGTACTACTGGACCTGATTAATTTTTATTACCTTCATTATTTTTATCATACGCTTGAGAAGACTTGATTTCTCGAAAAGCGTTATGATAAGTTTGGACAAATTTCCATGCAATTAAAAGATCAAGATTTCTATGGCAGTCTTTTATAAATAAAAAAGGCATTGTGTTTTAAACCAAAACTTCGAAAGTAAATGTTTTGAAATTTTTTTTTTGAAATTTCTAAAAATTCTAAGGTAAGAATTGTATCCGTCAGGGTGTCATTGTTCTGAAAACAACTTCATTATATTACCCCATCTTCACCATTTTTTCTCAAAATATGTAAGCTGTCTTATCCGATGTACTTGTCCCCAAAATCGTGCTTCCATGAAGCTTCTCATGCCTATTTTTAAACATAAAAGTGTATGAGTTTGTAACCTGTCAAACTAGTTGTGTTCTCCAGAATCTGAAGTTAATTTAAAAACAGAGAACAAAACTATAGTACACATTTTTTCTTTGTTTGTAAACACGTGTGTATAAAAATAGTAGTTTAAATGAAAACGAATTTCATCAAAACAAAATCTACTCTATTGGTTAAACGCTTGTATATATTATATAACGACAATTTTAGATTTCGATACTTGAGATCAAAAGCTAATACCTAACCCCATGTAAGGACTTAAATCTGCTTGTTTTATTATTATTTCATTGATTTTTAAATGTATTGACACCTACCAACCTTTCAATTCAAACACAGGCCAATATGAGTGATGACGCAGTAATACTCTAAATAACAACTTCGAGAACACAGGATGCCGATATTTTCTTGAAAATTACAAAAAATTATTATATAATATTGTACCGATATATCATCTTTAAGGAAATTATCTCAACGCTTAAATATTAATCCTACAAAACGTCTACAAAGTTGTTAGGAGTGCGCCAATAGAGAAAAATTCAAAAAGAGAACTACATGTTTGATGAGAATTGACATCTGATATTTATTCGTGGAAAAAATTGCACTTGATCCCGTAATTTTATTTTTCAAACAAACAATAATAATATATGTTTTTTTCTTTAATGGAAATGATTTTGAAAATTGAATTTGATTTCATATAATTTAAGTTCAAAATAAACACACAACGTTTGAATCCTGGCATTTGTTTTGAAAAAAAAAATTATATAAAAAAATCCAAATTTTTAATTATCATTTTAGCAAATGATACATTTGTTATAAATATATTAAGGATTTTTTTCAAAACAAATGCCAGGATTCAGTTACTTATGGGGACCATTGGTCCCCATAAGTAACTGAAAACAATTTACACAGTTTGACCAATTTAAAAAAAAGTTCAACATTTCCCTGTTATACATTTGACAGTTTAGTGCAAAATATTGTTTCTCCCTTTAATTCTTGATATTTACAGAGGCGCAATAATGGAATTCATACGCCATAAATTGTAACAGTTTCTCGAGTCAAGAAACAAGATTGAGAAGGTAGAAAATAATGTCGGGGTCACGAGAGAATTAAGAGAAACAAGTGACCCTCATATCAAATGCTGGATGGAATCAGGTATAGAAGTATGTGAGACCAGGAACAGGAAAAAGAACCGTCACATTGTCTAAAACTTCTATAGCTGACTCATTCCTGACGCAACGGCTCTGCAACAGTTACTATTTACCCTACTGAACTTATAGTCTGATTACCATATAATAATCGCACTCGGCCATATACAACGAAGAATGTTAGAATACACTTGACAATACACGCAGGGATCTGAAGTTACTTATTTAAAAACTGAGTTCTTCTTAGATGGAAATACATCAAATGTAGTATTTAAGCAGTAGGAATTACAGGAATGTGTTGGATATATAAGTATTTTAATAGTTATAATTATTGTGATTGATTTCTTATTTATGCGAACACTT